GTATGACATTCATATTTCTGTTTCTGAAAACATGGATATCTTTTGCGCTGTATCATGAAGTCAGATGACAGATGTCAGAGAATAGACTGATACAGATCTATTATTCTGAAGAAATTTATCAGAGTGAATATTCTCACAATGTTGAACTTTATAGTTGTAAAAAGTTTCTTAATATCTGTGAATGCCATGACTTTGTATATAATAAAACTCATAATGATTTTCTCTAAGAACAGAAAAATCAGTGTTAGAAAGAAAAGATGAAAAAGAAAAAGACTTATAATCTTAATACTGTTAAAAGAGAAAGTGATTCTCTGATATAAATGAATAATTGTCTCATCATAAATATTTAAAATGAATGTAATAATTAATGTCTGTAATTAAGCTTCAGATAGTTATATCATACACTGTCTTCATATAATAAATTATTCTAGAGATTGATAAGAAGAGTGAGAGTGTATATACTGAGAAACATGATTCACTGAGTCTATGCAACATCTTCTTGAAATGAGAAGAGCTAGTAATGAAGACAGTAGCAGAAGCAGAAGTAGTGAGAGTGAGAGTTATAAGAACAGAGATAGTAGAAGCAGAAGAATCAGACACAGAGACAAGTATAGAAGATTGAGAGAGAGTGACAGAGAAAGAAACAGAGAAGAGAGCAGTAGAGAAAGAAGCAGTAGAAAAGATAGAAAAGAATATAAAAGATCTAGTTATATGACACAGACAATTTCTTCATTATTATGTTCTTCAAGTTCTTGATCAATGATTCAATATTGAGTTCACTATTATCAGCAGATACAGATCTGTCAACATATGAAGATTCTATATAAATAAAAACAAACATATCAGCATCTGTGTCTATGTAAAATTGTGTCAGAAAACATGATCAGAAGCTCACTGAGAAGAAAAAATGATTAAGAGTGTATAAGAAGATGAAGAAGATGTGTCATTCATAATAATATATTCTGATAATTGTTAGAAGATAAACAAGTTCTGATCACATTTCATAATATATTATACTTACTGCTAATAAACTGTCTGATATAAGTACTATGATAATGCTTGTTATGAGAACAGGGAATCATTGTCAGAAATACATACAATATAATAGATAAACAGATAGAAAGAGTTGAACAGAAGAAGAAGTAGAAATCTTGAATAAGATGATGATATTTGATAATAATGATAATAAAGAAGATGATTGAAGAATGAGAAAAGTTAGTGAATGAGAGATGTAATATAGTGAAAGTTTCTTTGTGAGAATGTATGCAGAATGCTAGCTGAATCAGAAATAGATTACATGATTGTAAACACTAGTGATGAGCTAATCCCGCATGAAGCTAGAATGTATGACATGATCCATATGGAGCGTGACCTGAATCTGATGAGAGAAGAATGTGATTTGAAAAGAATGTTATAACTTGCTGGATAATAACGCAGCCCGCTTCCGAACTTGCTTACAAATGTAAAGGGGCCATAGCGGCCACCAATTAATTTAGTGTATAGTATATAAGAAGGCCGCGTACGCCTGTAATCGTACGCTGGCTCAAGCAACCTTTGAATCACACTTTCATTATAGATGTATACAGTCAGAGACTATAACATCTACCTGAAAACTTTTAGTTCTCAGAGTTTTTCTAGTATCTGTAAGGCTAATTATTATACATTTATCAATTTCAGATATGCAAAATTAGAAAATTCTAGCTTAGAATATAAAAATCTCTCATGAATTATAGTATTTTTAATATCTTCTGATACTTTTGAAACCATTTAGAAAGTAACATGATATAGGAAAAGAAACAAAGTCTTAAAGATAGATACAGTAGATAGAAAAGAAAAGAAAAGAAACTGTAAGAAAAGATAATAATAAAATAAACATGTTTAAAAAGAGTGTATAGTTATTTTAACAGATTATATCTGATTAATTTCTATCTCTTCATATTTAGACAGTTCTAAATTTAGCTATTTTCTTGTAGCTGCTTGAGTTTCTGATAGAAAGTCTATTAAGTATTTAATTCCTGTCTCAGTTGAGAATAAAAATCTCATATTTAATTAATTTAAATCATACTTCTTCTTCAATCTGACTCTGAGTTTGTTGTGTAATACACAATGCATTACAATATACTCAGAATTTTCAATTAAATTGCAGAATGAGCATTCTGTTGAATCAAATCTATTATCAATTCTTTGTATATAAAAGATTTAAAATAATCATGTTCTAGTTTCAGCTAAATTATAGATGAGAATACTTTCTTTTTACATTTTATTAAACAAGATTTTCACTTAGGTTTTGTTTTAAATCTTGAATAATGTATACTCTTCTTTTGATTTTACCAGCTTTTATTTCACTTATTTAAATAAGATTCTTTTATTTTTCTCTTTATAAAAGATCAGAATACTGTTTTTTGAATAAATCTGCTTAATTCTGAACTCTTTTTTACAGCTAGATCAGTCATTTCATTGTTATAGATATTTATATAAGCAGGAACTTAGTGAAGATAAATTATCATTTTTAACTTTCTTCTCTTTTGAATTCTTATAACAGAATTTAAAATCAGTTCAAGATTTATTTGATTATTATAAATCTGACTATTTCTTAGTCTTTTCAAAGCAGCTTAACTATCAAAGAATATTTATACCTCTTTTAAACTTGTTCTCTTTTATGAA